GTGCGGCTCTGACCTAAAGCCCGTGAAGCAAGGGCTTTAGACAGGAATCAATATTTAGTGGTGTAGTGGTTCGTCATGAAATTTTCTGATATTTTATTTGAAAAAACAGTTTTAGTGGACCAAAAATTATTTTGTTTGCTTCAACTTCATGGACTCCACAGGCGGCCCTGCCAGTAGGGAATCCGTAGCTAGCAATAGCAGCGGATTGACTAGAGTTCAATCCTAGAGAGAAGCAGTTGCATCCACTACAAACGAATGTTAAGAAAAGAGGTTGCGTCCACTACAAACAAAGATGAATATATTCCACATCCGCACACCCTTACTGTCCCCACGCACAGTAATCATCACAAAGTCGGAAGATCATATGGTCGAGTCTTTAATTATCTTTTAATTAGCAACGTTTATCTTTTGGACAATCATCTTGAAAGGCATTTTCAGAAAACTGGTCTTTGTGAATTCATTACATTACCAATGGTATCTAAAAGCTACACGTTGCCGATCCGGCAATTTAAAAAGAAGCCCAAAGGCATCACTACATATAAAGAAATGGGGTTACATTTAAAAGTGATTTAAGTGGAACATAATTGAGTGGAATGTATAATTTTTTATGTTCGCACTAAAACTTAATGTATAATTTTTTATGTTCCCACTAAAACTTAACCATCAATTTATAATACACATGTAAGAATATATATTACTCCAATTTATAATACGCACAAATCTTTAATATGATGTGATAAAAGAATAGATGAAAAATAATTGGATGAAACGTGGGATAAATAATGAGATATGTGTTTTATAAAACATTATATCTTGTTGAGGATTCGTTTTGTTGATTATGTCTAAATATATTATACATTGTTTGTTGATCTAGTATATAATATATTGCATTGTATCTTTTGGGAGCTATATATTATATAAAGATATTGTTGCATGAGCTCGGGAAGCCAATTTGCTTAGTGAGATATAGCACACTTACTAAGATAAAACAAAACAGTCTAAAAATGTCTCTTCCATTTACGATTCTCCTACCATTGGTCTTCTCAATACTGTCACCTTATTTCGTATCTCTCACACACTCCAATTTCGCTCGACTTGGTATTACTATTTCCCCAACACCGAGACCCACAAAAAAAGTAGAAGCCTCTACTGATTATGATCTCAAGTTTTTCTACTACGATCAGAATCTCGACCATTTTACATTCACACCGGAAAGTTACAAAACCTTTCAACAGAGATACGCCATCGATTCGACGCACTGGGCTGGTGCCAAAGCCAACGCACCAATCTTAGCCTTTCTTGGTGAGGAATCGTCGTTAGAGGGAGATTTGTTCGGTGTCGGGTTTTTCCAAGAGAATGGTCCTCGTTTAAAAGCCCTCCTCGTCTACATAGAGGTCTACATAGATGTGTCTTTATATGAGTATTGTATACTATATA